ACTACTAATGTTAACACAAGTAACTGCCACGATATGTTCTGAGAAAGGAGTCTGAAGAAATGAAGTCGAAATTTATTACTTGCTAAAGCCTTAAGCCATAAGATAAAAACGCAATTTACCACAACCCACACCACATATACCTTATCCTGTATGACAACTTCAGAATGTTACCTCACATTTGATCACCTACCCCACAACTGGGTGCGGGAGAACTTACACGTCCTAAGAAGCCACAAAATCTAATTTTGGCCCAAAACCATGCGCTGTTCTTAACTTAAAAGACCTTAATAGTCCGGGCGCAGTGGCTCACGCCTGTAATCCCAGCACTTTGAGGCCTGAGGCGGGTGATCACCGAGGGTCAGGTGATCGAGGACCATCCTGGCTACACACAGGTAAACCCGTCTCTACTAAAAATACAAAAATCTAGCCCGACGATGGTGGCGGGCACCTGTAGCCGGCCAGGTACTCGGAGCTTAAGTAGGAAAATCGCGTTCGAACCCAGGAGGCGGAGGCCTGCAGCTGAGCCGAGTCCGCGCCACTGCCCACTCCACCGAAGGCAACAGAGCGAGACTCTGTCTCAAAAAAAAAAAAAACCCAAAAACAAAACAACCAAAAACAAACAAACAACCTTAACAAAAATGGCCATGGACACGTACAAATACTAGGTTACTAAATCTGGCTAACACTGAACTTTAAGAACAATCACGTTTTTGGATAAAGAAAAGGGCAGCCATATTTTTAGAGCCTCATCTACACTATTTTAAACAAAAACTTAAAATATGGTCGAGAACTAACAGGCTTCCAGCCTGAATTCAACACCCCCCTCGTGATAAAACTCAAAAATCTGACAGCCTGGAAGTAAAATACAGGGACACTTTACTACCCTGAAAATCATGCTGGGTTCCCGCTAGGCCGGGTAGACGTTTTCGGGAGCATCACCGCGCGGCGTCTCGCAAGCGCTTCTCCAGGCGCCCTCCGGGCGGCAGCGCTCTCGAGACACTGTTGCGTCGCCGTCACGGCCGTCGCTGTCACGCCCTTCCCCGCGGACACCGAGAATGACCCATGGCGGAAAATTCTACCGCACTACCTCCCTGAGGCAGCCACCGGTAAGAAACAACCTTTTCTTCAGGATTCCCACCACCCAATCCCATTCGCTGTCAACTGGCTACTGTCACCCACCACCCTGCAAGAACAATTACCCAGCCTCACCGCAAGAACGCGCGGAGAGGCGGCGCCAAAAGAAACCCTATTCTCGCGAAATCTTAAACCTAATTCTCGCGACGTCTCTGTTTCTGTCGTTCTTTCTCAGCCCTAGCCCCACACTGGCGCGTTGCCTCGGAAACATCGCGAGATTTCGTTCCTTCAGTCTCCACCCCTTTACGGCACGATGGTCGCGCAAGAATGTGATACAGCTTCAACGGCCGCCATTTTCTTTCTTTCTTAGCTGTTAGCTGAGAGGAAGTCTCTGAACGGGCGGCAGCGGCTAGCGTAGTGTAACCATGGCAGACTATTCAACAGTGCCTCCACCGTCTTCTGGCTCAGCTGGTGGCGGCGGTGGCGGCGGTGGTGGTGGAGGAGTTAACGACGCTTTCAAAGATGCACTGCAGAGAGCCCGGCAGGTAAGTGTGGACCGCGCGGCGGAATCCCGAAAGCTCACGGTAATTGGCCGCTGACTAAGTAGGCCGCTACCCTTTAGCGCATGAGGAAGAGGAAAGAGGTGTCCTTCCGGGCTCAAATGTGAGGAGACACGTTTCCCCTTGTTGGTAATAAAGATTAGAGACCAGAACTCAGTTTTGTGTTCTTGGTGTGTAATCCACTTAGAACCCCGACGCGTGCTACGCAAAGAAGGCCTGAAGGCTTTCTCCCGCTTCTGCGGCACTCGTGTGTCGCCAGTGAGCTAACTTAGCCTCCCCTTTTCCTCGAGATGAAGATTCTCTTCCAGGGGATAAAGCGCAGGTAGTTTCACACAATTTAATGGAAGGTTCTGGTAATCAGTTTGGGAAAGAACTAGGGTCGGTCTCCTGGAGCCATAGCAAGGGAAGGGATTTGTCGTTAAAGTAGCCTTTACAGCTCATTTCCGTTCCCTCTCGCAATTAAAACCGCTTTCGGTACCTTTCACCTTCACACCTCTACAAGGAAGGGACTTGAAAGCCGTCTTTTTCTGGGCGGGATTTAAGCGTCAGTCTGTTCTAACAGTCAGTCCCCCTTATTTCTCAAAATGGCCTCAGGCCCATTATACCAGAGGTTTCAATTTGAATCTGCCTCTCTGTTAAGAGTCGTAAACTGACCAGACCTCTTTGTATTACGTAGTGCGTACATTTGCCCTGAAGACACCACTTTCCCAGACGAAAGCTGTTAAAATAGTGCGAGTATTCCAGGAAAATAGAAGATTTCTTAATTTGAACTTTACATTTTTAGATAGTCCCCTAATATATTTAAAATTTCAAAATGTATGGTGTTGGTATGGATTTGCATGTAAGCAAAAGAATTCTATTCTCTATGACACTATGCATATTGTACTAGGTGCTGGACATTTTTTACTAGTGTTAAGCTAATGGTAATTAGAAACCAGTGTTGTGCTGTGTTTTCATTGCATTAGGAGTTCACTTAACTTTTACCGATACAGTTAAAGGAACATTGAGTCAAAATCAGAATTCGTAAAATCCGTTGTAACATACCTAATGTGAACACATTATCAACATGTACCTGTACTTGTTTATAACCAGAGATATTAGAGGTAGTCAACAAAAGGTTATCATTAATATTAGTTCTGCGGTTTTTTCACGTAATTTAAGAAATTCTGAACATGTTTAGCAGCAAGCATTTGTATAACTATGACAAACACTGTTAGCGCGTTTTATTAGATTGATTTGTAAAACTTAACTATTGTATTTATTGGAACCAACTATTTTATTTTACCAGAACCAGCACATTGGATTACTTAGTATCAAACACTGTAGGTAGATACTGGAGTTTTGTTTTGTTTTGTTTGAGACGGAGTCTCCCTCTGTCGCCCAGGCTGGATTGGAGTAGCGTGGTGCGATCTCGTCCCACTGCAACCTCCGCCTCCGGCTTCAAGCAATTCTCCTGCCTCAGCCTCCCAAGTGGCTGGGATTACAGGCGCCCGCCACCGTGCCCGGCTAATTTTTTTGTTTTTGTTTTTGTTTTTTTAAGTAGAGACAGGGTTTCACCATGCTGGCCAGGCTGGTCTCGAACTCCTGACCTCGTGATCCGCCCGCCTGGGCCTCCCAAAGTGCTGCGATTACAGCAGTGAGCCCGGCCTTTTTTTTTGTTTGTTTGTTTGTTTGTTTGTTTAAATGCATGAATTGTTTCCTACTAAGAAGCTATGATACAGTTCCTTGACCAAATGCAGATGAACAGGATTATCTGATAAATTGATTAACGAGGGCAGACAAAATACGGGTATTTAATTCATCCGCTCATTTTATAAGTGTTTATAGAGTTTCTACTATGAGGCAGGCACCTTGTACGGGACACAAGTTGGGAGGGGATACCCAGCTTCCTAAGTAAAGGAGTGATATTTGAGCAAGGCATTATAGAATGAATGAGAGTTTGGCCAGTAGGGAAAAGAAGCAGCATGCGCAGAGATATGGGACGTGGGGGAATGACAAGAACCCAGAATTGAAGTCACTAGAAGATGGTGGTGGGAGGACGTGAAACAAGGCAAGGAAAGGTACAAGCGGATCCAGATACTGGAAGACTTTGTGTTGCAATGCTTTAATGAAAAATTGGATTTCGGGCCGGGTTCGGTGGCTCACGCCTGTAATCCCAGCACTTTGGGAGGCTGAGGCAGACAGATCACTTGAAGTCAGAGTTTAAGACCAGCCTGGCCAACATGGTGAAACCCCATCTCTACAAAAAATACAAAAGGTAGCTGGGCTTGGTGGCCTGTGCCTGTAGTTCCAGCTACTTGGGAGGCTGAGGCACAAGAATTGCCTGAACCTGGAAAGTGGAGGTAGCAGTGAGTGGAGATCACGCTACTGCACTCCAGCCTGGGCATAGAGCGAGACCCTGTCTCAAAAAAAAAAAAAAAAGGTTTTATTATTAGGCTAAGCCATAATTTCCTTCTACTTTTTAAAATACAGAAATTGTCATCAAACTGAAATTTTTTGTCTTATATGCTAATAGGTCAGTTCTGTCTTTACTGTAATGATTTCTTTATGAAAATGATCTTAAATCTGAGATTCCTAACTTTGGCTTTTAACTAGAATTACCCATTACATTTGATGATGTCTTTAAATGTCAGTTGTAGCTATTAGTCTGATAATATGTGTGGAATATACCGAAGGGTATTTAGACAGAAGTTAGGTTAATACCTGAACTACTTCCTCCTTGTGTATTTAAGAGAATATTGAGTTATGTTTCTAGAGTCCTCAACTAACTCTAAGTTTATTTTCTTTGTCTAGAATACTATGCTGTTTTTGTTTTTGGAAGGAAAAGATATAAGAACAGTTTGCTGCTCTCAAGGAGCTTCAAAGGCTGTACCAGTGGGGATGCCATTGGTGTATTTAGCTGGATAGTTGTTATTCAGAAAAGCAGGACAAGTAATTTTGATTCCTGGTCCGTACTTGGTAATGTCAGTAATGTTAACTCTAGCTGGTTGTTGACATCTGGTCATTTAGTTGCCAATCCTTTTTTTTTTTTTTTTCTAGCTTATTTTTATGTGAAAGTCTTAGATTTTTATAGTATTCTGAGCTCAATTCAACACAGGGACACCATGTTGCTGCTTTTGTTCAGGGTTTCCAGCCTGTGCACTTAAGAAATTTATTTTTATGTATTTCAAGCTGTAACTCCAGAGATTGGGATTGTTTGATTGGGTCCTTAGCAGTGGTACTAATAGCAACTTCTGTCTCTAGAACATTGGAAAATTAAAATGTATTTATCTACCGTTTTTTCCCTTGAGGTTATATGAAGGTAGAAATGAATCAGACTAGATGATTAGCTAAGCAAAACTGTTAACCCTCATCCCTTCCCCTCTAGACAACTGTGAAATTAGTCAGTATGTATTCGATCCTTCTTGCAGTCTCTTCTCTGACAATTATAAAAGTGATTCAGGCTGCATAATGTTGTTTGAATGAAATGAAAATACAGACTAGAGCTGTTTTTGGTTTTTTTTTTTTTATTACCATCAGTCTGTTCAGTGAAAACTAACATGTGAGCATGATTCTTTTTACAAATCATTTTGTGACAGTTTAGCAGGGCTTGACTGATAAGCAAATTATGGTATGGTAATATTTCTAGTGTGCACGTTTCTTCACATGTCTGGTATATGGGAACTCTAACTCCATCAGGACTTTGCCTGTAGTAGGTACTCAGCATTTACTGAATTAAATCAATAAATATTTTTGATGAATTAAAGTACAAGTCAGACCTCTGTGTGGGCTCTGCATCTGCACATTCAGCCAACTGTGGATCAAAAATATTAGAAAAATGGAATGACGGTCCAACAATACAAGTAATATGAATGAAAACAATACAACTATGTACGTTGTATCAGGTATTATAAGTAATTTAGAGATGCTTTAAGTATACCAAAGGATTTGCATAGGTTGTATGCAGATACTGTACCATTTTGTGTAAGGAACTTGAGCACCTGTGGATTTTGGTATTTGCATGGTTCCTGGAACCAATCCCTCAGGGACACTGAGGGACTATAGTTGGTCATACCACCTGATTTTAGAGATTTTCTGATCCTCAGAAGTTAATTAAGTAAACTACAGTAATCTGTTTTTAACCTCGGAGGATACATTCCAAGAACCTCAGTGAATATCTGAAACCACATATAGTATTGAATCCGATATATACACGGTAATATTTTTTCCTATACATGTGTATCTATAAAGTTTAAATTCTAAATTAGACATAGTATTAACAATAATAATAAATTAGAAAAAGACTGGGCATAGTGGTTCACGCCTGTAATCTTAACACTTAACTTTAACTATGACGTTGTCTTGAAAAAGAAATCAGCCAGCCAAGGTGGCTCATGTCTGTAATCCTAGTGTTTTGAGAAGCTCAGTCAGGAAGTTTGCTTGAACCCAGGAATCCGAGACCACCCTAGGCAACATGGTGAAACCTTGTTTCTATAAAAAAATACCAAAAAATTAGCCAGACATGGTGGTGCATGCCTGTAGTACCAGCTACCCAGGAGGCTGAGGTGGGAGGAGTGCTTGAACTTGGGAGGTCAAGTTTACAATGTTGACAATGTTGGGTCCTTTACGTAGTTGCGTAAGTGAGCCATGATCATGCCACTGCACTACAGCCTTGGGCAACAGCCTGACCCTGTCTCAAAATTTTAATTTAATTTAAAAAATGAAATCGAACAATTACAACAATACACTGTATTACTGACAAGAAGGGCAAATTTTTAAAAAACCAATATGCTGTAATAAGTTATATGAATAAGGGGATCCTCCCCTACCCCAGAATATCTGATTGTACTATACCGTAGGTAACTGCAACCGTGGAGAGCAAAAACTGAAGATACTGTGTCTTAAGTTTATTTTCAACTCCCAAATTCTTGGATTTCTCACGTCTTGGCTTCCTCAGTAGAGGTGAGAAATGCTAAAACAGTGAAAACAGGAAAAATAACTTACTCATTCAAGAAGTCGATTATGGTCTAGATGGAAAATTTGAATTATTTTTGTAAAACTAAAATAAAGTAGCCAGGCACCGTGGCTCACGCCTGTAATCTCAGCACTTTGGGAGGCTGAAGCGGGTGGATCACTTGAGGTCAGGAATTCAAGACCAGCCTGGCCAACAGGGTGAAACCCTGTCTCTACTAAAAATACAAAAATTAGGCATGGTGGTGGGCACCTGTAGTCCCGGCTACTTGGGAGGCTGAGGTGGGAGAATCGCTTGAACTTGGGGTGTGGACATTGCAGTGAGCCCAGATCACGCCACTGCACTCCAGCCTGGGCAACATTGTGAGACTCAAAAATTATAATAGTAAGTAAAGTAAAAAGTTTCCCATACTTGATAAATGTCTAATAAAAATTGAATATGTTCTAGGACTCTGAAAAAGGAGTTGAATATAGTTGGAGGTTGGTTTTTAGGAATTATTTTTCTTAAATTAATTATCCTTGTAGTCACCTAGGAATTGTATATTTTCTGTTGATCTTAGAAAATTGATCAATCTATAGTTCATTTTGTTTTTTCAATTTTTTTTAAAAGAGGTGGGGTCTTACTGTATTAATGTTGAACTCCTGGCCTCAACCAGGTCTCCCACCTCAGCTTCTGAAGTAACTGGGACTGCAGGTGCCACTGAGCCAGGCTCCTTTATTGGTATTTTTATTAAAAGCTTTTCTCTAATGTCTTTGTAACAGTTCTCAATTTTTGAAATGGTGTTACTCGTTCTTTAAACTGTCAACTTTCATTTTCTTTTTTTTTTTTTTTTTGTCACCCAGGCTGGAGTGTAGTGGTGGGATCTCGGCTCACTGCGACCTCCGCCTCCCAGGTTCAAGTGATTCTCCTGCCTCAGCCTCCAGAGTAGCTGGAATTAACGGGCACGTGACACCGTGCCCAGCTACTTTTTTTTTTTTTTTTTTTTTGTATTTTTAGTAGAGATGGGGGTTTCACCATGTTGGTCAGGCTGGTCTTGAACTCCAGATGTCAGGTGATCCACCCACCTCAGCCTCCCAAAGTGCTAGGATTACAGGCATGAGCAACAGCGCCCAGCCTCAACTTTCATTTTCATTTGGTTAGTTTTTGAACTATTCAGTGGGTAAGGTTGTATAAATGTCTTTTCTCTGTATAGAAGTTTCTTGGAGTTCAAGGAGTGCTACTTTGCAAACTCATAGAGTATTTATAAAAGCTAACTGCAGAAGGTGTTCATAGGCTAAACCGTTTCCTATTCTTGGTAGCACCATTTTCTCTGGCCTGAAATACTTTCCCTCTACTATTAGTGTCTGTCAGTGCCCAGCAGTGTATTTACTTTCCTGAGGAACAATTCAAATGCTAAGTGCTTTAAGACCTAAGGGTGGAAAAGCAGTGTTTTCAGGCATTATTAGGAAAATAAGATTTAAATTAGACACCCAGAAACAAAAACAGGTTTGTAATTGGTAAAGTGAAAGATGGTTAAAGAAGGTTAGATTGACCAAAGCTAGAGTTTTCTTTTTTTGTTTGTTTTTTTTTTTGAGACAGTATCTCATGCGGTTGCCAAGGCTGGAGTGCAGTGGTGTGATCTCGGCTAGCTGCAACCTCCACTTCCTGGGTTCAAACAGTTCTCCCACCTGAGCCTCCTGAGTAGCTGCGAGGCATGTGTCACCATGCTCAGCCATTTTTTGTGTGTTTTTAGTAGAGACTGAGTTTCTCCATGTTGGTCAGGCTGGTCTCGAACTCTTGACCTCAGGTGATCTGCCTGCCTTGGCCTCCCAAAATGCTGGGATTACAAGCGTGAGCCACTGTGTCCACCTGAGAGTGTACCTTTTTTTAATCGAGCAATCTAGTTCTTGATCCTAATATTCTTTGTGGTGGGTGTTTGCATTTTTAGATGAGGAAAAGGGAAATCTAGGAGTCCTAGGAAATACAGTTGGTATATGGGAACTGATACGTAATTAGACTTAAGCAATCCATGTTGAATTTATGACTTAAGCACTTAACTATAAATTTACCCTCTCCAGTTGTCTGATGATAATCAAAACTTGAAGCAGTTATCCATATTGGGATCTCTTTGGGGAATCCCAGTCACCAAAAGTTAGGTTTTCTTTAATATTTTTTCATGGAAGTTTTCAAATATACTCAAAATTGAAAGAATTATGTAATAAATTCTCATGAGCCCATCACACATCTTCAATAATGAATGTACAGCATTGCAGTGTGGAGCTTGGCCTATTGCTGACCACTCATCAATGTGGCAGAACCACTCCATGGTTCCCTATGGAAATGGGAACTACTTCAGTTCTCTTTTTACAGAAAAATTCAATAAATATCTACTGATTGTGCCCTACTTGTGACTTGAAGCCAGGTTGTTGTTGTTTTTCTTTCTTTTTTTTTTTTTTTTTTTACAGTCTTGCTCTGTCACCCAAGCTACAGTGCAATGGCATGATATCAGTGCACTGCAACCTCCAGCTCCTGGGTTCAAGTGATTCTCTTGCCTCAGCCTCTCGAGTAGCTGGGACTATGGGCGTGCACCACAATACCTGGCTAATTTTTGTATATAGTAGAGATAGAGCTTCATCATGTTGCCCAGGCTGCTCTCGAACTCCTGAGCTCAAGCAGTCTACCCACCTCCACCTCCCAAAGTACTAAGATTACAGGCATGAGCCACCATGCCAGCAAAGCTGGGTATTAAATTTGTTCAGTCAGGTGCAAGAAATTATTTGCCCTACCCTGAAAGTTAAAAATATTCTAAGAGAATTATGGTTTCGCAGCTGAGGTTTTTTAAGACTTGAGCTCCTGGGGCTCCTGCATGTATCCTTAGAACAACATTGTCCAGTAGAAGTACAATGTAAGCCACGTTTTGTTTAACCCAGCATATCCAAAATATTACCCCTTTTGCATGTGCTTAATATAAAAAATTAAGATGATTTCTATTCCAGGTTTTCAATATTCAGTGAGTAATTTTACACTTAGAGCAAGTGTCATTTCAGACTAGTCACATTTTGAGTACTCAGTAACCACATATGGGCTAGTGGCTACCTTACTAGATAGCATAGCCTTTGGGTCCCACAAAGTGTTCACATTCTCTGTTTACACACATCTTTTGAAGTGTCATGAGAGAGAGCCAGATAGGATCCAGATTTTCTTTATATCTGTTTGGTCTGTCTTACGGATTCCTAGTTGATTACTTCTTTGTTGCTTCTTATTAGGGATGTATCAGAAGCTTAATAAACTCATGATTATTATGTTAACTGCCTGAAGTATTAATTTTAGCAACAAATTGAACTATAATTTTAATTTTTCAAGTAAATTTTCTTATGTGATACTAAATATTTCATATATACATGTATTAGAAGTAAATGGGAGTTTAGTAATGAATAGTATATAGTAGTTTGTGATGATATTTTTCTGTTTTTTTTTTTTCAGATTGCAGCAAAAATTGGAGGTGATGCTGGGACATCACTGAATTCAAATGACTATGGTTATGGGGGACAAAAAAGACCTTTAGAAGATGGAGGTAAGTTATACTCATACGTATTTTAAATTGTTTTTCAGAGTGTTTAGTTGAAGTGGTTCTCAGTATTTTTTTGTTATTCTATTGAGACATTACTTTTATTATAAGGTTGTTAAAACTGTAAGGTGTATATTGGCCTAAAGAGGGGGGGAAGAGACCTAGAGAAGGTAAGTAAAATTTCAGTCAACCAGAAAGTTTTGTCTTACTAGAAAACAGTTTATTTTCCCTCTTTTAGGATTGTGCTAGATTGAAAGTTTGCACAGACGTCTTGTTAATAATATTAAAAAAACAAAAATATAAATTGCTTAGAAGACACTTGACTGGTTTTACTCATACATGAATGGATTTTAATATGCTGTGTTTTCGTCATTTTTCTATTTGCAATTACACTTTAAAGGTCGAAATTCGTATTGTTTGCTACCCTAGTGTGTTGCAGGTTATACCGTTTTTTTTAATGTTCTTTGCTTTTAGTACTTTTGTGTTTCACGTTTAGCTGTAAACCTATAGATTAAAACAGTGGGTTCACAGTGCTTTGTAGTTTTAAAAATCATAATCATTGAAGCTTCTGAACTTAGAAGTCTGCATGTATTTTTTGTTTTAGGTTTGATGTATGAGTTTTGATACATTTTCTTTTTACCCTTTTTTTTAAAGGAAGGATTCTCACTGAGGCTATAGAATGTATTTGTAGCTTTTGACCAGGAGAACTTGGTTTCCTTTATTTAAGTGTCTTTCATATTTATAGTGAGGTTTTTAATATTAAAAAAAAATGAGCTAATGATGCTTCAGATGTTGTATGTAATGTATTCTTTTTATTTTATGTGTAGATGGCTCTTGGACAAGTCCGAGCAGTACAACACACTGGGAGGGAATGCCCTCTCCTTTTAAAGGCAGGAATTTTTATTTATTACCTGTGTTCAGTATGTAAACGTGAAATAAACCAGTGGATTCTTAAATGGACACAAATATTTCTTGGATTATGTGTCTGAATTTTTGCTGCACAACATTCTGATGGTTAATCATTTAAGTTTGAAGGGGGGAGGAGAATGTAGTACTTTGAGCTATAGGTTGTCTGTTCCAAGGTATGCATTGTATTCATCTGTGTAATGGATTTAGATGAAGGTAGTCATGTAGTTGCCTTGAGTTTTTTTGTTTTTTGTTTTTTGTTTTTTTTGCTAAAGTTTTATTCAGTGAAATGTTTGTTTATAAATAATAGAACAGTTTAAGTTGAGATTGCCTTGTAATGTTGTGGGGTTTTTTTTTTTTTTTAATTTTTTGGGGCATAGCTTTGTGGTCACTGTCCGATATACTCAACTTTTAATATGTCAGATTTTTGTAGTTTGATACGCTTTTTTCCCCCCAGTCTTCAGTTCCTGAGGTGGAAGCATCATTAGCCTTTAGCATGTGATATTTTGCTAGTAATGGACCTAAAGTACTTTGTCTTGTATCATTCTAATGTGCATAACATACATTAAGGTCAGTGATTTGTTAAGAATCAGATAACTATTTTAATGTCTGTGCATCTTTTGAATGTGAAGAGAATGAAGTATAGTTTCTTTTTTAGATTACTGAGTTTGTGTTGAATTTTGGCAGTTTTGGTTCAAATGATAAACTATACCTTCAGATATTTCAATAAATGTTTATATTTATTCTTGTTTGGGAGGGGAGAAGCTTTGTACTTAATTGGAAAAAAATTAAAAGACACTTAATTTTGCAGATCAACCAGATGCTAAGAAAGTTGCTCCTCAAAATGACTGTAAGTATTCCTTTTAAACTGGGTCAAAAGCTATATTAAGATTTTGTTCATATTATCGAGTATCTTTGAAGTTAGTTGGTTTATGAGTATTTTGGATCAGCTAGCCTGAATTTCTTTGTAAATATGTACCTTTTTCTCCTATTTTACAATCTGTCCCATTAATTGTGGCCAGGTATATGTAAGGATTGGTTGCCGAATTATTTTACATATTTAACAACTCCAATTCTTGATCTATGCTTGTACAACTTGAAAAAGGAAATTATATTGTTCTGTGCCATTGCTAATATAATGTCTTCCCTTTCATTGGCTCTCTTACCCCTGTCAGTGCCAATATAAATATTCTGTATAAAATTTGACTCTCTTCAAGGTGTTGTCTGTGCATTAGGGAAAGATTTTTGAATGTTTGATGTGATTTTGTTGTTAAATACATAAGTAACTCTAAATTTTGAATTTTCGTTTTATTTTTATTTAATTTTTTGATAGCTTTTGGAACACAGTTACCACCGATGCATCAGCAGCAAAGGTATAGTCACAAACTTTTCAAAAAGTACTCTGCAAGTTTTGGTTGAGCTGCATGTAAAAACACAACCACATTGGTATATATTGAATATGTGTCTGTATTTTTTGGTGTACCTAGTTCATATCACTGCCCTTGGGAAGGTACCATAAAGTGATGATTTTTCTTTTGAGTGAGAAAAATTTGCGATTTGGAGAGAGAGAGGGAATTAGCCACAGTTTAGAAGAACAGGGGTGAATTAGAGTAACTGTTAAGATGACGTTCTCTAAACTCCACTCCAACTCCTTTACAGTTCATGCCTTCAGACTGTTCCATTGATCATCCCTTCTTCACTTGATGTATCATCTTAAAATTCTTAATTTAACTACTCAAGTAATAAGACCATATTTTTTGACATGAGTCTGAGCATAGAACCTTAGTTTAAGCCATTGGGAGACATTAGACTTCCATTTTTATTAATAGATTATCTTTTATTTGTAAACAAAGTATCTTTCACTGAAGGAAAAATGGTACTTTCTGTTACTTTTTAGCAGATCTGTAATGACAGAAGAATACAAAGTTCCAGATGGAATGGTTGGATTTAGTAAGTAACTTGATTTTTAAAGTTTTGAAAACATGATCAAAACATACTTTAGAATCTTTCAACCAAAAAAACTTTTTTTTTTTCTAACTAGTAATTGGCAGAGGAGGTGAACAGATCTCACGCATACAACAGGAATCTGGATGCAAAATACAGATAGCTCCTGGTAATGTTACATTCTCTTGGTATTTTCAGAGTGACTAGAAAAGTAGCTTTTTTTTTTTCTTTTAGGTTTCTAGTACTAATAATGCTGCCTTTAATCTTTTGACCTGAAATTCTATTTTTGTTTTAAATTGTAGACAGTGGTGGCCTTCCAGAAAGGTCCTGTATGTTAACTGGAACACCTGAATCTGTCCAGTAAGTTTGAAAATCTTTAAAATCGACTTAAAGTAACAACAGGAGAACTCTTTGAATTTTCTCTCTGCACTTTGTTACTGCTTTATTTTACACTACTCTTTCGCTGCCTCCTTCCCTCCCAAGTCCTCTGACTCCTTTGAAGTTTATGCCTCATGCCTTTCTCAATTAGGGTTTATCATTAAACACAGAAAATGGTTAAAACAACTTCATATCTACTCCAGTCTCTACTTGCAAAGCGAAGTGTAGCCTGGAGGAGAATGCGCAGTAATGTTGACTGGTGACACCTTAAACTCACAGACATTAAGCTCAAGTGGACTGTTGTGTTGCCTGCATTTCCCTAGTTCCATTCACTTTTCCATTCCTCTCCAAGGCTCTTTAATACTATATTTCCCCATCTCCAAATCTTCAGCATCTAACCCCACCTCTCTCCTTCTTAAGCTTATTTATGGAGAAAATGGAAACGAATGATAAGAAGCTTTTCTTTTCCCCTACCGCTAAACCTACCAGCCTTCATTTTTTTTCTCTGTTCACATAGTACTCAGGTAATTGCTTTCCTTTGTGTTCATGTGCCTAAAGCCAGCCCTTTCTTCCTATTGAAGGTTCAGCCTGCAGTTGTACTTTCTTCTGCGTTATTAGTTCCCCCTCTTTACTAGATTTTTTCTTTTCTATTTTTTGAGAGGAAGTCTCACTCTGTTGCCAGGCTGGAGTGCCGAGGCACAATCTTGGCTCACTGCAACCTCCGCCTCCCGAGTTCAAAGGATTCTCCTGCCTCAGCCTCCCAAGTAGCTGAGACTGCAGGTGCATGCCACCACACCCAGCTAATTTTTGTATTTTTTTAGTAGAGACAGGGTTTCACCGTGTTGGCCAGGATGGTGTCAATCTCTTGACCTCGTTATCCACCCGCCTCGGCCTCCCCAAGTCCTGGGATTATAGGCGTGAGCCACTGCCCCCAGCCTGATTTCCTTTATAGCACTTTCCAAATAATACGTTATTCATTTGACATGTTATTTTTACTTATTTTAATGAAACGAAGCCACTCCAGCAGGAACCCTGTCTCTTTGAGTGTTACCACCCCGTTACCTAAAATAGCACTTGCACATGGTTGATATTTAAGTATTTGTTGAATGAATAATTGTAGCATATGAGTAAGCAAAATGGTAGTTTAAAAATGTAAATAAATAAATCATTTAGTTCTTGGAAGAATCAGTTTAATTCTGAGATAACTTTAGCATTAGAGTTCTTGGAAATTTTGGACTATTCTTCAAAATAAAAATTGTATTTCTAGAAAATTTATTGCCTAATCTCTCAATCTTTGACCCTTGATGGCATTTTCTTTCAGTTAAAAGTAAAAACATTGTTAAAGTTAGCATTAAGGCACCTAATCCTGAATTGGGGTAGGAGGAGTACTTGGTTACATTGTTTTGTATTTCTCTATTTGAATAAACTTGGGTATGCTACAACTTACTATTTAAATATTAATTTGTTAACAGGTCAGCAAAACGGTTACTGGACCAGATTGTTGAAAAAGGAAGACCAGCTCCTGGCTTCCATCATGGCGATGGACCGGGAAATGCAGTTCAAGAAATCATGATTCCTGCTAGCAAGGCAGGATTAGTCATTGGAAAGGGGGGAGAAACTATTAAACAGCTTCAGGTATTGTTATGTTTGTGAAATGGCTACTTTTGGTCTGTTTTGATGCCCATTTTTGTCCGCTCCCTTTTGTTAATATGTATCATTTCTATGATTATAACAGGAACGGGCGGGAGTTAAAATGGTTATGATTCAAGACGGGCCGCAAAACACTGGTGCTGACAAACCTCTTAGGATTACAGGAGACCCATATAAAGTTCAAGTAAACTTAACTTTATACTTTATAAAGAAAGAGTTTGGGTTGAATGGGGTTGGGTAAAATATGCATGAATAATTAAAATGTTTTGAGACATGCTTTCTAAATTAGCTAACTTTTTCTACTTTAGCAAGCCAAGGAAATGGTGTTAGAGTTAATTCGTGATCAAGGTGGTTTCAGAGAAGTTCGGAATGAGTATGGGTCAAGAATAGGAGGAAATGAAGGGATAGATGTAAGTAAAAATACCCATTCAGAAATGGTTGTATGCTAATTCGTAAATATAGTAGTGTTTTCTGTTTTGTGTTAAATAGCTCTAACGTTGTTATCCTTTTATTTCACCTTTATACTTTAGAATACAGAATTAAGTATTTTATATCTTGTCACCCTATTTGCTATAAATATAAAATTATATGTACTATTATGATTTGAGGCAGATTTTCAGGAAATGGTGCTTTTTTTTAAATACTTTTTTTTACTTTAAACCCTGAGAAGCTAGTTTTCTTAATACTTAGTCTTTTTTACATAAGGTCCCCATTCCAAGATTTGCTGTTGGCATTGTAATAGGAAGAAACGGAGAGATGATCAAAAAAATACAAAATGATGCTGGTGTTCGAATTCAGTTTAAGCCAGGTGAGTGCATATAATAATCTTGTAAGTGTTGGCAGCAATGAGTTTTGACATACATTTATTATTGTTATTTTTTTTTAATTTAAGTTCTAGGGTACATGTGCACAACGTGCAGGTTTGTTACATATGTATACATGTGCCATGTTGGTGTGCTGCACCCATTAACTTTGTTCTATTGTATGCGGAGTCTAAGTCTCCTTTTGTTAGTCTCTAAAGGACTTGCTTTATGATCTGGGTGCTCAGTATTGGGGTGCGG